AAACCAAGTTCTTGGATAAAAAAATAATTTAATAATGTTGGATATACTTTTTTTTTTGTAAAAAAAATTTAATACATTTTTAAGTGTCGTTGGATTGTATCACATTTACTCCTGAAGCAGTACTGATACTGGGTAAGGTACTATCGCTCCAATCAGGATGAGGATAACTCCTTGGTGGACTTGGTACATTGACTGGCATTCTACTTTGAATCCTGGTATCATGGAATATATTCTGAAATTGTTCGGTTATTGTAGGACCTATTAAATTATGAGGCGAATTATCTTTCAAAATGTTACTGCTGATCTCGGTTACAGTGGATTTGTTCCCAAAGCTCTGTTTTTTATTTAATTCCGAAGAAGACTTTTTCATTTTCGCCGTTTCCTTCATATGAATTTCTTTCTCGTGAGTCTTTTCAGGAGATGAGTTTAAATGTTCTGATGATGATAATTTATTAGTACTTTTAAAATTACGCAAATTATCATTCTTTTGAGTAAATACTGTTACGTCATCCTTTCCTTTGTTCACTGAAAAAAAAAGGTATATTTGCAGTTCATTCGGATAATTGTAATATGTATATATTGAAATTCATTTACCAGATTGACTCATCTCTGTGTAACCAAAGTCTTTGTAAGATGGTAAAAGTGTAAGTGAAAATTCTCCACCAGGCAAACTGATAAATTCTAAATTCGAATCTTTAGTTTGAGATTCTTTCATATTTTTCGTTCGTTTCTTGTCAAAATTAGCGCCTTGAGTTTCTGAAAAGGTTGATATTTTATTTGGCTTATGCAGAAGACCCTGCATACTTCTATTTTTGGATGGATTGTCATCTATTGTAGATAGAGATACATCTGATATCTCGTGCCACGAGGTAGGTATATTGGAATCGTGTGAAGAGATAGAGGTAGGTGATGAACATGCATGACCTCCGTGAACCAGTGAAATCTGTGGATTCGAACTTTCTTCTTCGCGTACATAAATATTTTTTAACCCGTTCAATTGATCTGCAATATGACTCTGCAACTCCCTACGATGTAAAATAAAAATGTAACTAACGTATCAGGCTACTGAATTAAATTCAAATCATAATTTAGCTTACTTAATCGCAGTACGAAGTTCAATTAGTAACGAATCCTTGTATGACGATAAAACAGAAAGTTTATCTTTTTCGAGCGTTAAATATTGCACTTCTAAGTGTCTCTGTCTTGCAAGTTCGGTTTGTTCGGTAAGATTTGCCCGTAAGTCTGCTATAACTTTTTGGGAAAATTCGTAACCCTTAATCTCTTCCGTTAATTCGCTTATTGTCTTCTCTCTAGTTTGAGCAGTCTTTATTGCTTCTTCTAGTTCCAGTTTTAATGTTTTAATCGTCGTTTCTAAGTCTAACTGTCGCTCCCGAGCTTCGTTTAATAACAGGACTTGCTTATGGACTTGTCTAATTTAAAAGAAATAATAAAAAGTTAATATACAATGAAAATTATTTATATGTTTCTTTGTAACAAACGTACCTCTGTAAAGAATCTCTCTCATCGCGTAGCGCTTCACACATCGAGTTCATTTTTCTACTTGTTTCCTCTAGTTGAAACGTAGTTGCTTCTAGTTTAGTACGGAGCGCCATAGCTTCTAAATCCTGTCGCGTATAATTTCGTTTTAATATATAATATATTGAGCATCAACTATTCTTTAATTGTTAATGAACATACCACAATAGGTGGTTTGCCAGGTTCCACTGGTATTCTAAATAGTACTTGTTCCATATTATTAAGAATTTTATTAGCTTTATCATCCTTAACTAAGTGTTCTAATTCCTTTATTAAAAAACTTAATGTCCGAACTGGATTGAATACACCAAATCTATCATCAGATTCATCAGATATTCCACCACATTGTACAGCTTTATCATAAACTATAACAGATTCCATGGAACTTGGTATTGATGTACTTGATGGATTTGTAGTGCGTGGTGTGGATTTTGAATGTTCTTCCACTCTTTTGTGAGAAGCTGGTTGTTTGATAGGAATTTCATCTAAATGTTTATGCTACAGAGAAAAATATTTTGTAAATAAATTATTGAATAATTTTATATACATGTAGTAAAATATAGGAATAAAAATTAATGCTAACATCTTGTTTCTGATGAGTTAAAGAATGTTTCTTTGTTTCTTTAGTTTCACTACCAAATTTTGATGACTTTGAACCTGATGTTCTTGTTACCAATTGCTGCAAACCTTGCTTCATTGCTGTTCTATTTTGTTCTCTTAAAACTCTGCCCCAGTTTTGATGAGCATCACCACTACTACTAGGTCTTCTTTTCTCTTCTACACCTTTGTGACTAGTTGGACTGCTGCTAACCATGGTTGATGTACGTTTACGGCCTTTAGTTTTCACAGTAACTTCTATTAAGGTATTATCATTATCATATAAAACAAGTCCTTCTGAAGGTAGTGCAGAAGTAGGCTACAAATATATTATATAGTTATCATTCGTGTAATATAAAAATTTATAACCATAAAAAATTATTTGAATTATAAATTACCAAATGTTGCTTATTTTCTAATATATTTTTGTTACTCCTTGTAGCAACAACTTTATTGGCAGCATTTACTTTGCTGCTCATTATGCTAAAACGGTAGAAAAATACATTTTTTATATTAAACAAATCTCTGAACACACCAACTGGTTTCTAACCGATATGATTAAAATGCATATAACCTGCTGCTTGTTCGAATTCATATTCATCGGAGATCAAAAAACTTACCATGATATTTTATAATATTTGCCAGCACATTTCTCCTGGCACTTACGATGTATACACCATCTTGTACGATTGAATAATTTTGAATAATCATTTTATCGAATTTCTACGTAGAAAAAACATTAAAAATATGTCATATATTCTCTGTATTTTTGAAAGTATTTACCACATAACGGTTCATAGATTTTCTATTTCCGTGTTATAATTCAACAAGCCAAAACAATATTGCCTTGATAGTTTTCCATTCTTTTCTTCAATTTTTATAGATGATATGAATATAGTAAAAATTCTTTAATTTTTATAATATGGAATATCAACATAGGGAATATAAAATTGTTTCTTTTTATTTCTTAATCTTCTTAAATATGTACACATATACAGTATTTGAAATATTAAAATATTGCAATTCAGGTAATTAATTCTTAAAAATTACATATATTATTTACGGTGCTTGGTTAATATATTATGAAGCTCATTTCGGTGTTCCCCTAAAATTTTGTAAAATTGATCGAAAAATAGCTTAGCGGACTCTTCTATATACATTTTTCTTCTACGAACGGCGTCTAATTTGTCTGTTGCTTCTTGTATCTCTGCAGCAAGTTCTTGTTCTTTTGGCATTGAATCCTCAATTTCTCGAATATCATTTTGCAAATTCTTTATTTGTTCCCTTAGTTTTGCTTCTTCACTTTTAGCAGTAGTTTTAATTTTACTCCTAAGGTTTTTCTTTTCTTTAATTCTATTAGCAATTTCATTACTTTCATCTTCTAAAATTTTAATTCTCTCCTGAAGATTCTCTAATTCATTAGAATTTAATTCTAACGAACGTTCCTTCTCTATAAGTTGTGTTTTCAACAATTCTTTCACATCATTCATTAAAGTAGCTTTAGTATTTATTTCTTCCATTATTTTTGGCTGCAATATACCTGTTTCTGGCATCTTTAACTCCTTTAAATCTACACCTATGTCATCACCCAGATGCATGAGTATTTCCTTATTATATGTTAGGACTGCTTTAGTTAAATTATTATTAATTGATGCCAATTTAATATCCATAGTGTATAGTTCTTTTTGTATATCTTGTAAATGTTCATCAAATTGGTGCATATAATTCTGGATTTCTGTACATTTTTCCAATATTTTATCCCTTTCTACCTTGGACATTGGTTGCTGCTTAATGGCTAAAATTAGTTCATCATGCTGTATATTTTGTAAACGAATTTGTTCAGACATCACATTGCAATCAGTATGTATTTGATCTGTTTCAGAATTCATTGTTTTTATGTATTCTTCTTTTGCTTTAATATCACTTAATTGTTTTTCTTCATCCTTTTTCAAAGATGAAAGTACTTCCTGTAAGTTTTTTACTTCTTCATCTATGTTGCTTGCATTTTTTTCAACTATCTGTAATTTAACCAGTTCTTTTTCTAATTCAGTATGTGCATTATTCAAGTCTTCTTCACTAACTCCTTGTTGTTCTTCAATTTCTTGTAAATATCTTTCAACCAATCTTGCTTCCTCATCAAGTTTCTCATCATTCCATGCATTGTAAAAATCAATCATAGCAAAAAAAGATTTCTTATTTATGTAAGCTTCAGTTTCATTTCCCATGAATGGTAAATTTTCTAGATTATATTTTTGAAGAGCTATTTCCTTTATTTCACAAATTTCTACCAACCAGCAAATCCAGCCCAAAACATTAGGCCATGAATGCATAGCATTAGCAGTTTTCAACCAAGACTTGTTAATAATTCCTGGATAGTGAAGTTTCTTAGCAATTTTTGGCAGCTCCTCTATATAGTTAACAGGTGTAAGAACCTGTTTAATGTCCAGCATTTTTACTAAATATGCAGAAACTTCTACAAACATTTTCAATGTCAAAGGCTTCAAGCTACCACTACTGTTAAGCATTGAGGAACAATAATTTGCAATAAAATAGTTGTCAATTTTATTAAGCATTTGAGCTTGATATGTTTTGTCTGTTAATGGTCTTGTGTCCTTTCTGGGACCTTTTGCTCCAAGACTACTGGCACGATCAGCAGATAAGGACCTACGTCCTGTTGGAAGTGCTATATGATTTCTATTAGAACTTCCAGCTGGAAAATAAGTAGAGTGTTTAGAAGCACTTGTTGAAGGTGTGTTTGGAGTTGTTGGCCCATGGTGAAGAGGAGTTTTACCTGTAACAGTTGTGATAAAAATATTATATTTCCTGTCTTTTGAATTAAATAACTATAAGAAAACATTTGAAACAACATTAGTATAATATTTTCACCTGTTGCTTTTATACTTGATGCTCTGGCAAATGTTCTGTCACATGAAGATGCTCTCGCGCGTGGCCTAGGTATGTGAGAGTTATCAACCGAAGAAAGAGAAGCCTTCGATTTTGACATTAGACTTCTTTTCGGATTGTCTTCCCTATCTAACGTAGTTATCCTTACGGGATTTGTAGATGACCTTCGCCCTATAGAACTACTCGGCATCCTGATCGGAGTATAATTTCCGTTCACATTCAACAATCAGTTGTATAAAACTTGCATTAAAATGTTTATAACTTCGATAATATCTTTTCAAATTTTGTCGTTTGTCATAGAACTCTAAGATACAAGATCAGTTACATTATCGATGAATATGACACAAGTATGCAATCGTTTATTTAAAATCCACCCAGTATACGTAATCCTCATGCGAACCATCTGTGAGGTCACATTCTACGATTTTCATGCGAATCACCCTCCGTAATTTGAAAACAACCTACATATTCATATACATAGGGAACTAAATGTAACCATAATCATAATTTTACTTTACATTTAAATATAGCTTTTAATAAATTGTAATTTATTTTTTATGATTACAATATTTAATTTTATGTATATATATATATAAATATTTGTACAATAAATTGAAAAATTAAAAGTTAAAGTGAATATTTTTCATTTTTATTTTAGCTTTACTTTACCAGAAGAATTTTAGCTACCGTGTAATAAAACGTAATACAGATACAATCCAATGTATAATAAAATAACATCTACGTATATCAATTATTTGCCTTTATATCTAGAGATTATCTGGTATTTGTCAACTATAGTGGAAACCTTTTGAATTAGGCAAGGAACACGTGCTGACATTCAGTTCAATGATTTAATAAATACAAAACTTTTAGTGGATAAACAATTATAGCACATTGTTAAATAGTTTTGTGATATTGACATTTAATTTGTAATAATTTGAATGTTCTTCCTTTACTGTTAAGTACAATATGTAATGATAAAATATATTAACTAATTATACATTTGTAAATAAAATTGTACACTGTAAAACAATATTATTAAAAATATAATAATACATGAATTTAACAATAATGCTGAGAACATTATATAATTTTACTAATACTGGTAGAAGAAGAAAGGTACATCATATAATTATTGTTCTTCTTTCAAATGTATTTTTGTATATCAATAAACTATTTTGATTATAAGATGCATCTAACATTTATTTCTTTTCAAATATACATTTGTATGTGTATCATTTAATAATATTAAATAATGTAATGAAGAATTTACTATTATAGAACCTATGGATAAACTTAGTACAAAGATGCTCAACAGGAACTGACAGTATGATTGAAAATAACGAAATACTGTTTGCAGAAAATGAACATCAAATTTTAAAGATAGTAAATGAAAGTAACTTAAAACAATTAACAAAGTGAGTATACAATTAGCATCATGAACATTTTGAAATAATACTTGTTTATTTTTTAATTACTTGTAATTCTTAAATTATTTATTTCATTGTTAATATTACTTTTACATAGCTATATTGAACAGTCATATGCTCAAACAATAATATTGCACCGCATTACAAATGGATCTTATAAATCATTAAGTGATTTGACATGCATAAAGGACATGGAATCTGATATTTTAAACAAATTTTTGATATCAGTCACTAATCATGATATAAAACATTTACAATGCAGTAGATCTGTGTTAATACCCAATACAAAAATAACAAAAGTATAGAACTATTTATGTGTTACTATTATCTTTTGACATGGAAATAATAATATAATTAATGTTATGTTAATAAAGCACAATTTTGCATATTATTTCAGATACCAAATGAAATAATGGGTTTGCATATTGGACCTACTGCAATATGTTGGGCATTAGTAACTTCTGATTTTAAAGTACTACATTTAGGCTGCCATATTTGGAATGATAATCATAAAAAATTCAGTAGTTATGATCTGATCCATTTGGTAAAATATTTAAACTTGGTATTTAAAAACACAATTCAGTGCTTTGTTTGACAATTATTCCTACTCTAGGCATCATCTGTTGCACATATGTTACCTCTGAGCTCTTCTCATGTAATTGAAGAAATTCCAGTTTTAAAAAGGGTACCACAAAGTACATATTATATTCCACAACAGTTGACGACTGCTATCATGAGTTCTATTATAATAATGAACAATTCAAGTGCGTTTATTCAATATTATTAATAATATACTAAAGGCAAATAACGAAGATTCATATTTGCTAAAATATATCTAAAATAAATTTTCTAGAAAATGATGACTCATCGGGATTGAAATATAATTTATATGTGTTAAAACCACAAACATCAGCACACTTCTTCAACCTTGTGGTTGGTAAGGAAGTAGTAGCATCAAAATATATTATACAAAGAATATTTGATCAGTCTAACATTGATAATAAACAATTCCAATATATACATATAAGTGATGAATTACGAGAATACTTTTTAATGGAAATGCCTGAACAGCAAGAACAATTAGGATGGTCCCTGCTGAAAGCTTTAACTTGTACGCATCTACTTAAATCGTTCATGGCAAGGCAGAAGAAAAATGCTTAATGCCAAATGAATTTTGTTAATGAAACTTGTTGTTAATGTATATAGTGAAGCTTGTATGTATGTTTAATAAAATATTTATATCTGAACACTTTGTAAGTGTATGTACATTTAAAGGAAAGTAGAAACAAAAGCAGGGAAATTTATACAGAGTAATACAATATACGTGTACAGGTCCATTCATTTATTATATATTAATTTTCATTATACTATCTATTCATAGTACACTGTACGTCTAATGTTTCTCGCTTCTCGAATACAAACTCTTCTTGAGTAAATAAATAGACAAGTAAACGCTTTGTCACAATGGTAGCGGTAATGAATTATATTTACCGACATGTGTGTACCATTGTGAGCGTCGAGTGAGTATACGAGAGCAAGATATCCAAAGTAGTGACTGTTTCGTGAACATAGTTAACAAATTTGTACGGCCAACTAAAAATACAGTTTTGGACAATGCTTTTTGTGCTGAAACTCGTCAAATTAGGTACGCTTATCGAAAACATAGTAACACCGCTACTTAATCCGGCAGTGATGCTGTAGAAGAAGCATGTTGCTACGTATCATTGTCTAATCGAGCATGGATAAGCACACCACAAAGTTCTCCACTGTATGTATCTGGAATTTGATATTTTCTTCCGGTACAATCACATTAAACTCGATGATGCTTTCATAAAATAATAATTTAAAAACAAAAAAAAAAAGGAAGAAGTAAAAGGATATTCATCGACTTAAGAAATTAATGAATCGATGTACCGCTTTTAGACACTGAATTCAATTTACGTGTGCCTATGCTCGTGTGTGTTGTGTATCTCTCGGTTTAAACTTATTCCTTCTCAATAAACGTCTAACAAACACGAAGGAACTATATAGTAGAGAAGCCCGATTAAGCTTATATTCTCCCAGATATCGATACTTTATGAGAAAGGAACGTTCACATATGTATAACAAATTAAAGGAAATCTCGTATGCCAATTCCTTTGGTGATCGTTCGGTGCATAAACGATAACATGCTCATTTACCCTCAGTTTCTCGATCGTATTGTTATAATCGCATATAATTATCTCTATGAATCGAATAACAGAAGTATCAACCAGTACTCCATATTCCACTTTCATTTACGATTAACGACAGATCACTAGATCTGTTGTCAACGTGACAAAGTAGATACGCTATACAATTAAACTATGTGATTGCATGCACCTCTTTCAACTTTGTGTTACTCGCAATCGCATCGCTGCCAGGTTAACGCAATTAATTCAATCGTTAAAGTAATACCCGATCAGACCAGCTGGAAACGAGTCTTGACATATATGTATATTCGACATATCTAATATATAATTCTGTGTATATAATATATCTATATGTATATTTAATACGTATGTGCACGTCTTGTATTACGCTACAACACATCGTGAAACAAAAACCGTTTAAGTACGTTATTAATAATTACTATTCCATTCTTTCTTTTTCACTTTTTTTCTCTCTCCTTCCATCTTTCTCTCCTCTATTATAGTTCACAACGCCTCTTTTTCTCTTCAATTTCTTTTTTTGTCATTTTGTTTTTGTCCTCCTTTTCGCGTTTTGTAATAACTCGAGACCTTCTTTCTTACACAAGCGTATACGTGTATAAAATCTAGATCCAGCATAAAACGTTTTGCACATCATCTCGTGGACCGCGCACCGAAGCGATAATTCACCAGCTCGCCTCGAACTCGTGCGAAAAAAAAAACAAAACAAAAAAAAACGATGCACCTTGAGCATCGAGAAATACAACCGAGGGGGGAAGGGGGGGAGCAGAAGAAGAGCGTGTTGAACCGTGTTTGCATGCGTCTGTGTGTGTCCTTTTGCAAATACGAAAAATCATGGCTTGTTGCTCGAATGGACACGCAATCAGATACACAATTACAACATTAAAAACGATACTCGTTATTTGTTTAAATATACGTATAATAATAATAGTACTAAAATTATATAAACTATATATGGTATATATATATAGTATCTATCTTCAACCGCTGCGGAGTTTCTTTATGCTTTTATTTTTTGACATTGCAATTCCTCTCGCGAACGAAAACACATGAATATAACGAATTACGATCCTGGACAGAAAAGATTCAACGCTGAAGTATCGTTTAAGATATATACATATATATACTCGAAGCCGCTTGGAATTGATCTTCTAACACGCGGCCTAAGCAGCATATTTATAGTGTATTTCTCCGATCATATGTATATATAGTCATTCGATCAACTTTTAACGGTTCCTCGAAGAGACTCTCGTTTTGTTTTACTATCTCTTAACGATGTCTCAATGGTACCTAACGTGTCCAACGTTTTTTCGACGCTCAATACCCTGATAGGATTACAGTTTAATTCGACTTAACATTTTACTTAGCGCGTTTATCATCGAGAATCGTAATATCGCGTTTCTCGCCTCCGTAAATTATAGACGCTCTCTCCCTCTGCAGATACACGATGCAACCTCCAATAACAAGACGGTCAACGAACTTTCACTGTCCACGTTCACACACTCGTTTTACAAGCTAACACGTTAACCGCGACACCAGAACTCTCTGCAGACGACGAACACTCGATTTACACGTTAAATAAAAACTACGTATCTAAGCCAGTCTTCCTTCTTATTCTTTCTTCATTTTCCTCGCGACCACTCTATTCTCTTCTTCAGTTGAACGAAATTGAAAACGATTCACGCTGATCGGTTCGTCAGCTCCGTTACATATTTCTTCTACTTGTTTTTCTTTTTTTGCACTTTTTCTTGTGCAGAACATTAAACGTCGCTCAACATCCGGAAACTTACATACATACATATATATAAATGTGTATGTGTATATCCGTTAAACATTCATTAGAGAGGAGTATAGAACATTCTTCGCGTGTAGGTGTGTATGTTCGAGAATTGAAAGATCTAACGAGACACACCGATTATCAACGATACGAAAAAACAGGAATATCTCATCCGGTCCGTCCGTTCAGTTTCAATATGAAATATTCACTAGGATATTCAAATTCCCCCGGCCTGCTGCATGCGATCTAATTCCACACTGATTTCCAAACAAAAAAAATATAAAATAAAATAAAAGAAACACCATCGAGTTACAACGTTCGATTTTTAATCGCTGCATCAAAACATGTCCGTTTCTGCGCGAGCGAACGACCGTGTCCCAGAAATTCGCGTTCGATAGTAATAATAATCAAGAGGCAGACGATAAATGACTGGGAGCAGGGCGGCATATGGACAATTTGTATATTGTTAGACTTTCACACGATGACATCGGACGATTGTCGATACGCAATCGAGTTGAATTCCTCATATTGCTCCATTTGAATGATAATTCAGCTCACCCTCGCCACTTTTGGCGCGCTAATCCGTCCTGTCTAACGTGAAGTTAGGCAGATATCGATATAATGTACACAGTTTGATATAAAGTAGCTTGCAAGTTTTTCGATATCTAATTCGATATTTAGAAGAGCGTTTAGAGGCGAGAGGGAGCTTTATCGTCGCCTGTATTTGTTACACGAGGGGCAGAGAGACGGTGATTTTTTACTTTACGTTTCTTACTTATTACTTTACACACACAGTCGTGCACTTCGAATACATTTACAGTAGTCTATAATAGCACGATCTTTTTTTTTTTTCCTCCCTTAGATACCACACGATATTAGAAACAACGATAGAAGATAGAAGAGTGAAAAGCGCGAAGAAAATAGTCGCAAGCTCCATTGCTCTGGTATTCTTTTTTCTTTTTTTCTTCGTTTCTGTTTAAAGATATTTGGTCCGATGCTAAGAAGAGACTGTTACACTTAGACAAGCGTGACGACGCGTAACAGCACACGGGCTTTTATGGAACGGACGTCGATAATAGTACGCATGGAAAACGGAAATTGTACGCGAGAAACACGATGAGTTCTGCTGACGCATCCTTAACAGATTGACTAAAGATTCCATTTTATCGTAACATGAATTATTTATTATAACAGAGATGAAATCAGCTTTTTCTTAAACCTGATCACTTGCAACAACATTTGTCTATTAAACGATACTTTTTTTCTCTCTCCTTTCAACAGTCATATAGTCAACGCTTTTAAAGTATGCGTTCAGCTAAGCAACCCATCATCTTAACTTAGTACACTCCATTAATCGGCCAAGAAATATTATTCGTAGAACGCTTTGGACTAGACTGGCGATAAACGAGCGTGACCGTGCCGATTTAAAGCAACCTGGCACGCTTCAAATGCACGCACGATCACCTTATCTCTTTGTATTCCGGAAGCAACCGAGGAAAGGACCCCTGTGTAGTGGCACAGTGAAGTGACATACTGTACTACGATTACAAAGTGAGATTCATTTCGCAGCGCACTTAAATTTTACAGGTATTCAGTTACGTTTTATCATCTTTTTTTGTTTTTTGCTTTGTTTTGTTTCGTTTTAAATACGGTTCGATATTACTTTCAATGCTGATGACGACACGAAACGTACAACCGTTTAGACGAAAAAACCTGACGACGACGATGACGACGACTCGTGCAAATCAATTGATAGAAATGACTGGCTCGGTCGTCACACACACACGAAAAGGGGCGACACGCAGAACACGTAAGAGAGAGAGAGACCACACTTTTGTTAGATACATACAGTAAACTTGAATTGGGTCGACTCTACTTAAGCGTTTACATTTAATTTATCCGAATATTGGGTCCGCACAGATAAGTACTCCGTCTAAATATACATTTCAATTCGGTGTGCGAGAATAGTCTTCCACTATAATTATATATATATATATATATTCCTTTTTTTCTCTTTCTTAATTGCCCGATTATTTCTTTTTTCGACGTTAAATTGATCGAGCCCCGACTCGCGTCGATCGGAACATCTGATTCGTCCATTGTTTCAACGATGCAATCAACAGTTAATATAGGTTCGATTATAGTACAGGAATTTGTCGATTCCTCGATGATAGATTCTCTAGATTCTTTTCTTTTTTTTCTTTCTTTCATTTTGTTGATTTTTTTTTTGTTTCTGTGTTTGTTACAAGCTGCCGTTAGTTTAAGAGACATCTGTTTTTTAGCGGATACATAGACCTAGGATGAAAGGAATGAAATACTCCGCCGAAAATAATATCACAGCCTGGAGACACGGTGGAAGACTAAGAACCACGGGCTCTTTGCTATAAGCTTCGCTCAATTCTTAGATAACAACTGAACAGAAAATGGCACGGATCGCTGAGATTCAAATCAGAAGAACTCTTTGCAAAAGCTTCTTCTGTGAGAACTTAACAAGTTCCATTAAAAAAAGAAAAGAAATAAAAAAAGAAACAAGAAGAACAAATAAACTTAACTAGAAAAAATTTGCAAGATACAATGGCCTCGGGATTAGATTGATAAACGTAAAGACGTTCACTAACTTTCCCGTTTACTATGTTACATTTTTTTCGTTCTCGCATTTTACTAGTTTCCTCCTCCTTCCTCCTCCCTGATTGTGATATTATTTGGAAAGTTTACCGCTTCTAAACTGAGTTTCAGTCGCACAGTGAATTACATAGTTCATATTTTTCTTTTTACTCTCTTTTCGCTTTGTAGTAATAAAAATTACATCTGACCGTTTTCCTCTCGATTGTCGAGGAGAAAACACGACGGAAACACGGCCGTTAAAAAGTGACTAGCATACGCACTTGTTCGCACAACGTTCAAATTAGTTCAAACTGCTTTCTTTTTTTTTTTATCACGATGCTAGACGTATATCATACATGTATAACGTGTATCATACACGTGTAACAAAAATAGGTTCATAGGTTTCTTTTTTCTCTCTTTTTTTTTTTTGGTCGATTTTTGTTACCAGGATTCACCGATAAGACACACATGAACGTGATCGGAGAACGGGGAACGCGCTTTCATCTTTTTCACGGGTGTTCATCGTAGGTTACGTTTATAGTTCGACATGTCTTGCACGGAGTATCGATGAGTTTACTGATAAAAATATAAAGGAATTAGAAAAATGACGCTCTTGTTCGTTCCTTCTTTTTTTCGAGTGATCATTTTGTAACCACACGCGTCGCCACAGTATTGTGGACGTTACCGTGAAAAAGAGAAACATGGCTGCGCGTTCGAGGTTGCGGTAAGAAATAACGGTTCGTTTTGATGTTCGAAAGATTTTGAAAATAGCTCACTCGTGAAGTGATGTAACCAGTGAGTTGTTAAACTGTAAATGATAGGAATTTTTCGCGTACAACATTGTCGAAATCGAAGAGAAAATAATAACGTATCGTTTTCTCACGATGGAAAATATATACAGCGATGTGCGCTAACAGCAAGTGTTCTATTTCGAATTCGTTAACAAACGATCGCACAAAGCGATAACAAATATAAATAATATATGCTGGTAGAACAATAATGATCGAACAAACGCAATCTGTTGTGCGCGCTTACCATGCATGCATACATACATACATACATACACACATACATATATATATATATATATATATATATGTATAAACAATAAAATAAAAAAATATATACGAGAAAGAGAAAGAGAGAGAGGGAGAGAGATACAGGGATATGCTTTCTAATCAGGCGTTGTTAGATGAGATATCTAAAGGGTGAAACAATACTTCTCCCCCCTATTTCCCTCCTCCCAATCTCACTTTCTGAAGATGAACTTAAATGCCACACGTTCTTATAGAAAATAGTTGCTGTTTTGCCATTAAAAATCGTATATGTACTAGTAATTGCTCTAACTTGCCTGTTGTGCTCTTTGCTTCTTTACATTTTTTTGTTTCTTTAAATTCCACTAGTATAGCCTTCTAGCTATAATTCACTACAATCATCATCATCATCATCATCATCGTAGAAACACACTAATGATCAGAATTTTTTTATCACGTGTGTCATTACTCATTCTCTAATAGTTTCATAACTAAGCTAATATTTTCCACGATAAGCTATCAATAAAAAGTTCTTCTACCACGCGAAGAAACATAACGCAAGATACTCTAGCAGTACCTTCTTTATTTTTTTTTTTGTTTTCACATTCTCCGATGGTTCGGAAACGATTCATCGAAGCACACGAAATAATTTAATTCATTAACCCTTGACATTTATCAAGTAAACGTGGAATATACAGATCCTAAAGTGTCAAGTATAAGAATAAAGAATGGCATAAAAGGTACATTATTTGAGAACTGCGTGTGAGTCTGTCGATACGTTGCATCACTCCGAGTATTTCTTTTCTTTTCATTTATTTTCTTTCTCTTTGTTTTTCGTCTCTTCAACGAGCGATTCAATGAAAATCTTATTTTAATACTCAGACTTCTACCTTGTGAACGTTTCGAGCACACGACAAGATAGGCTAATACTTCTTGATCCGATGCAGTCTTAGAGAGTTCACTTCAGTACTGTGATGCAGATACGAACCAGTCGAGATGCCTACAGTTTTTTCATAGTATTTTTTTTTTTAATTTTTCTTTTTACTCGTTTGTATATCTCTTCAGTGTGTGTCATAGGTACAAACTTGGTAACTATTAACGACGATTCTTACCGGTACACGTCTAAGTGAACAGTCATTACGAAAGTCGACTCGAGATGATTACTTTGAAATACACGCGGATGAGATTCATAAAGTGGGTGGTACAAGTTTTGTGCTCATTTTACATTACTGTACGAAAGTGTCGCGTCTTTAGTACAGCAGTGCAACGTATCACTGCCCGCGAACAGTTCATCGGATATCGGAAATGTTAGCCTTGCTGCCAAAGATTTTGACTAGCTGATCTTCATAATCGTCGATATTACGCTTCATAAGTTCCATGCAAGGCCCAAGTAAGCGTTCGAAAGCCTCAACGTCCAAAACTGAAAAAGTTGCGTTAAAGGAAAAAAAAAAATAATTCACGCATTTCGTCACATTGTAATATCTACATACACGATAAGTATCACACAGAGCTGTGATATATTCTGATCATTTTATTTATCCATATGAAAATGAACGTTCGAGAAAGATGAATTTAACTACTGCATAACAACATAATGAAACTTTATTACAATGATGGGAAAAGAGTACTTACAGGCCAGCTTTACGTCGCCCTCAGCGTAGGCCGAAGCAGCGCGAGGTTTATGTGTCACGAGCGCCAACTCGCCTAAGTACCCACCAGCGGGGACTCTATTAATCTACAACATATCAAACAGAATACCAAATGACATCTATACAATTGACTGTGTAATTAGCGAGCTAGTTTCCCAGCCAATGACGGTACCAGTCTCACACCGTTACCAAACAGAACGTATCTAGGTCGCGACAATCGTCGCAATTACGTTACACGAACGTTAAATGAAAACCGATACAAGTTTCCATACCTCGCGATCTCCAATGGTGATCCTGACCACGCCATCCTCAACGAAATACATTCCGTCGGCTGAGTCGCCCTGTCTGATGATCTGGTCACCGTGTGAATACTGTTTCGGTACTAGAGCATCCGCCAGGTTCATACGTTCATACGGCTGAAAGAAGAGGAAAATTGGAACGTTAGACATTGCTCGATTGTTATCGCTAATCCGTGCCACTCCACACCCCTAATTACATTACCTACGCGAACTATACCAAAGCCAATACTAAATTAGCCAGTTATGAAACAATGGATCAGCTAAACGAACGCTAACAGACATCAAACTCTGGCGGAACGTTTCTTGGCAATTCAGTATCTTTGCGCCTCATCCAAAATTCAATAATACATTGAAGATAAAATTGAAAACAGTCAGCTGCTACCATCAATCAAACGATACATCCTGAAATATCAGTTGACCGTTTTCCTTTAACGAGCGCCTAACTGATACATATTATACTAGATCTCTCAACCCGGGAGCACACGCTTTGCGGTAATAATTATCCTGAATTAACACGTTTACTACGGTCATTCATGGAAAACTCTAACCGCTACAGACTATATTTGGATTTGAATAATTTACACTACATGATACACATTCTTACGTATGCACTATTAAAATGTGCTAACTAGGCAAGCTGAGTCGTCACTTTTCGTAGTATACAAAAGCATTTCTTATGAATGCAGAGGAGACTTCCTCTTTCGTTAACATTCTTCGTCGCCCATAGACTGTTTTTCATCGAGAAAATAAAAAGAAAATAAGAACAAATCGTCGGGTAATTTTACCCCACGCGAAATAGTTTCATGCGTGTGCCCACGGGTTAAACTCAGAAGATAGGAACGAGGAAGTTGTCCGCGTGGTTTCTAGGTAATCCTCTATTTGCGTCCACCGTGATAGCTTCCGGTACGAATTCCATAAAACTTGCCTCGAGATGCTTGAGCATAGGGACCTTGTTGATAAGGTCCTCGTACATCTTGCGCTTCTTGTAGGCAGACTTCAATAGTATGCGCCGGAAAGTTTGCCTGTCCATGGCCCACAGTGTGCCGGGCGTGACGGCCTTGACACTGGCTGCCCTAGGCATATTGTACAGCAACGCTAGCTCACCAAAAGCACCACGATTATCGTACGTGTGTATCAGCGACTCCACGCCTGACTGATTCCTCACGTACACCTCGAACTTTCCACTGAAAGAGTAACAACAATTGTAGAGTCCGTCATCCTAAACAATATCAATTTCGATATCTCGACCGCACAGTACACGGAATCACGTAAAAAAAAAAAAAAAGGAGAATTTTTACCTCTCGATGACGTAAAAGTTGTCACCGTCGTCATCCTGCCGGATAATGAATTCGCCTGGCTGCACGATCTTCTCGAACAGCGCGTCCAGCACGTCCGCCATTTGTTGCTGCAAGGAATTCACGGGACCGCGTGTCGTGAATATTTCATGACTAGAAACGTACCGTGTTCTTCTAACGTTCGAGAACAGGTGACGATAATTGCCGTGAAATTCTCATGTTTGACGATCTACCGATATTCAATACGAAAAATGGCGCATGTGATGACAACTTTTGAAACGACCAGTATACAACGAATCTCGCAATTCATTTCATAAAGATACAATTAAACGTACTTGTAGTAAAATTCGATAAATTAAAGAAAGAAAAAGAAAAGTTTCATTTCGAGATGTTAAAAAAAAAAAAAAAAAAAAAAAAACCCGTTCCGGTTATGTTGAATACCCTGTATATTATCTGCAAAGTTGCACTCGATTATTCGTTCGTGATTGCCCCGTATCCCACGCGGTTATTAATGAATTGAATGATCAAGTAAGATTAAAAGTAAGGTGAGAAGAGAGGCGAGCGCACGCCCAATCATTACAAGTTTATATTTGTATCCCAGTCAAGTCACTCTCGAGTAATTCATCTCGAGAAGTCTGAATCCCAGTTGAGAAGATTACACGTACTCATTGGCATTTCCACGAGTTGGCGCGAGCCCTCGCCGTCCGTTCCGTATTCCCGTTTTCAATTACACCAGAGGCCGTTCGAGTGTGTATACGGCGGCGTTACTATGTTTAACTTACCTCGTCTAGGGCCCGAAACAGAAAAATATGCTTCACGCTGTCGCTCAGCCTCTGCCGTTGCTCGTCGCTCTTCGGATGCACCATCTGTAACCAATGGAAACGCGACTGTTTAAAAAAACATCGTTGTACAACGAAATTTCGCTTAGTTATAACGATAATAAATTCTTCCAGACTAACCGGTCATTCTTGTAATTAATAATCGACAACCCTTCGTGATTTATACTTGTTGAACACAGATTCCCATTAAACGTTTGAATTTACAGTCTCGTGGTACGAGTGCTCTTAATGGCGAGAAATTACGATCGTCGAGCGGCACGCATCGATATTATAAATTAATTGCAGCGTGATCGATCGATAAAGCCAGGCCTGAATACACTGTGTCCGTTATAAAAAGAAAGGGTTTCCCATTAGATACGCGTGGGTAGATTGCACAGCACGGTAAGTTTAAAAAAAAAAAGAGGAAGAAAAAAAATCGAACTCCTTTGCGATCTTACGTTTCGTTTACCTAGCGGTTAGATACAGTATACCTTGCTGAAAAATAAGAAAAGAAAAAGAAAACTCTAAACGACAAGGATGGAATATTGTGTGTAGATAGATCATCCATTTTTCGCGAACGTCTAATAATCGATTCTCTTAGAGAGAACGATACACCCGTCGAACGATACTCTATCGTTACGACTCCTCGATGTGTACAGCTGTTCTGAATCCCGATCTGCTTTTTTTAGAAACCCAACACGGGAGTAAACAAATCTAAGCCGTATTTCGTTTCATGTTCTCTGACCTTTCCGTTCGACTCTTGGCCAGTTTTTAACGGCTACGGCAGATCTACGTTATTGCCTCTGTCTCAGCTTTTTTCTTTCTCCCTCCCTCTCACTCACTCTTTCTCTTTCCACTCGTCTACCCATCTCTCTAAAAACAATATCGAGTTTCAACCTTTAGACTGTTTTGTCCGTATCTTCGGAACACCTGCTAAACATCACAAACGTAATTTGCTCACTGACCTGCAGCGAGAAACTTATGTTGTTAGACACGCGTCCCCGTTCTACGAAGGAGCGTTTCTCAATTGATTCATCTGCATCCTAATCGCGCGATAACGTTGAACACCGCGTCGAACACGCGTAATTAACATTTTCAGCGCGGGCTCTGAGTTTCCGAGGCGCAATAGTCTAGTTTGCAATATCGTCGAGCGAGAACTTTTGCATAAAACGTTGAGACACGGTGAACTCTAAACACGACGACGACGAAGGTGATGCGTCAGCCGGCGTTATCTAATTGCTTCATTTAAAACGAACGCGGAGGAGGAAATTGAAAATTTCGTAGAAAATCGTGTTTTCGAGGCAGGCCATTTCTCCACTACCTCGCATCGATCACTAGACTAAGCGAGTTATATGTTACATTCATCGTCATACCACGCTACAGCGTGGTCCACTAAAAGCGGAACACCTAATTATCTCCTTTGACGTTAAAGCTGGACGGTCTCGCGCATCGTGTGTACAATATACTTGGAAATTATTCTTTTTTAGAATGACCAAGGTCATCGATGATACGCCTTTCTCAACAAAATCACCGAATAGAGATACCTATTAAAACCTGTAACATATATACACGCAATTATACCAAGTCTAACATAATTACCGCATCGTGCGAGGAGTGCTTTTAGAACATGGAACACCTTATGGAACGATGAAGTCATTTTAAATGATGGTTATCCAATTACTCTTTCAGCATCAGTGTCGCACGAGAACCGATCAAACTTCTTCTATACCGTCACGGGTATCGATTCGCCTTGCTTTAATCAACTGACTCAACAATAAAACATATATACATCTATATAAAAAAAGACACGTGGTCACGCTTGAAAAAATATCGATAGCCTTGATCGGTCTGATATAAACGATTCATGGTGGAAAGTGAACCCTACGCTTCTTATTTGTCCTGCATAAATTATTCTCTCTCTCTCTCTCCCTCTTTTTCCTTGTCTTTTGCGTAATAATTAAGATAATGTAGATACTTCAAAACGGTCCACTCGGTATATACAAGGTAAGCTTTTCCAATCAGTTTTACCAGCCGCGAAGCTCTCGATAATCGAGGATCGTCGTTGCCTTTTGAAATGCTTTCGAGCAGTACGATCCCGATCTGATGAGCCTTACCCGTGTACACCACCTCTCTCTCTCTCACTCATTGACGAACACGCTCACGTGTGTACACGTACGTATAACTATACATATGTAAGTCACGTCGGTAGCAGGTTATCGAACACGCGCTCTGACGTCACAAAGGTACATCGCTCGCATCGTCGAGCAAAGTAAATCATCCCGTTTCGTCACCCGCGCAGCCTGAATACGTTGTGTATGTTTCGATAAAAAGCAAAGAAGAGAAAAAAGAAGTCGCTGCTTTGTGTATGCCTTGTGTAACAAATACACGCGTTAGAATCGAAGAAACTTGGCTTGAACTGTGGAGAAGATCTTCTTGGAAGGATCGTTTCTTCAGAAGCGAGCAGCCGTACGTTATTATACGAACAAGTCATAAAGCATCCATATTTAGCTTTTATACACTGGGCCGCACGTGCTGTGTATATATACATGTACTACTTGCTTCCACTTTTACGTGTATGCATGTGGCTATACGTGAAACCACGTTTAACCCTATCCTTGTCGCGTTCCAATGTACCGGAATAAAGGGTTTGCTTTTTTGTTTTTTTGCTCCCTTCTTATATTTTCGATTCGTTACATTTAATTGAAAGATAATGTAGATTTCTCTCCTAACGAATTGTTTCTCTGCATCGTGGTCGATTTCTCCGGTCGTATGTGGTCCGATTAATATCAATCGATTATCGATTCAACGGTAGTATTTGAGGATATACACTATCGACAACATGGTTCCTTGCGTAACGTGACCAAAAGTATATAGGGATGTTATGGGAGAATGGAAAAGAAATGTCACTGAAAATAATCACGGTTTGTTGAGAAAAAAAACGTGCGAGATCAGAAGGGAAATATCGTACCTTAATTCCATCGTCCTCCTCATCCTCTTCAGGATTATAGGTTTCCGCGAAAATGCTCTTCCGCCTGGACGCGAACCTTCCGATCGGCGGTTCTGTAACGGGTGAAATAGATTTGAATGTAGCATTTCACAATCACGCGTGTTACGTTTAGTGCAATGTATGTCTCTAAATTTTTCGTAGTATTAACTCACTATTTATCCGTTTGTAAGTAAAAATGGATTAAATACCAAAAGTGAAACGAATCTCGATTTGTAAGTTCGACGAGGAATGTTAAAAAAAAAAAAACACGAATTAAGCGGGAAAAGAATCGTACCGGTCTCCATTGATGTGCGCGTATGTAAATTTTTCCCAAAATCGTATGAATTCACTAACACACACCGGTGAAAATTTGTGTAAAAAGTTGGCAGATCGAAAATCGAAATTGAAACACGATATCACTTAACGCGCGCTCCAAGTCACCGCGGTACAGATATAATACCGCAAGACCACGGGAGGAATACTCGACACGATGGGTAGTCGCATCCCGAATGAAAATTCGCTGGCTCTCTTACCTTCATCGACGGACTCGTCCGGCGTAGAAGAGCCGGTCTGCGCAGGGGCTTGGATCAACTGAGTTTGACGGCTTTCTCGTAGTTGCGTGAAAAAACCAACGGCATAGTCGATAATATCCACCGGTTGCTCCAATAGATAGCTGATCGTAAATTCCAACAATACGTCCCGCAACTCGTCCGGCACCGTGATCTTGCCAGCGTTACGTTGACAACTCATTTTTCTTTTACACCGAACGAATATGCTTGCAAGCAGCCTCACGCACACACTAGAATGGCATACGCCGGTAAACGACAAGACGACGAATCGTGTGAAAGATCTAGTCTATTGTCACAGCACGAACCGTTCACACGATTCGATGTGTCACACTTGTCAAACGCCGAAAATTTCCCTGTATCACGTACTGCGACAAGGCCAGGAGAACGTAAACCCCATGCGTTCCGCCCACTTTCGCGCTGGCCTACACTCACGGCACAGCTCGAACACCTATCCGGAAAAAAAAATTCGACACCGACTTTCAACGATTTTTTTTTCCTCTAACACTACATAAAGATGCGCGGAACATACAACGGGCCAAATTGAGGGATGCGACTGAGTCGCAAAGATGGCGACTATTTCACGGCACGCGTCTTCGCATTAGCAGAAGGATCGCACTGAACATTTAACTGGGAAACAGTAGGCAAATTGAGCATCATTGGACGGTCGCGATTGTATAGATCGTACACCAACGGCAACACGTAGTACTTATGTGATTCCACACAGGTTTTAGATATTCGCTAACATATGTAGAAATTTCGTCGGGCCAATGAAACTCTTGATATTTGATGTATCGTACCGCGAAACGCTCACCTTATTGGTTCGCGACGTTTCGAATGTAACACGGTTAACGCGTGTTGCGTACACGCTTTGATAAATAATTATTACGATTTCCCTTAAGTCCGATTCTTATTGACCCGTAGAATGCCCCCTACGGGCGCGCGCGTAAAATAGCTAACAACTAATTTGAGCCCCGTAAGCGTCTCTGTGTTCGATTCGAGATATTTTTAACTATGCCTGAAGTGAACTCGGACACGTGCACCTTGTCGAAAATTGGAGCAACGTCAAACAATGGAAAATTAGTTTGCAGTTTGTAAATACTTTGTGAATATGTGTGTGTAACTGTTGTGCGCATATGTTAATAGGATATTTGTTATACTTTATTTTATAATACCTACTTTTTGCAAGCAATAAACTTAAGAATACTGCGTCATTGTAAACAAAGATTTCAACACTTGTGTATGAAAAATGGCGGGAAACGAACAGTTCGATGAATATTTGGGAGGATCTCAATCCTTGCCACCTGAAGTTCACATTATGAAACTTGTTTCTGCAAGAGCTAGCGAAATTGCTGCGATGACGTATTCTATAGGTACGTTAAACGATACTTTAATCCACTTTGGTAAATTAAAATTTAAAATATATGAACATAAATGTACAATATGTGAAGTATTAGTAACATTTTTACACATGCAAATGTATTTGCAGAGAATCCTCAGCAAACGAAACTTGTATTTCAAAAGTTGCCGGTGTACATGCGCAGACGCGTCATGTCCCATAATGCCAAGCGTTTGCCGCGTAGATTACGAGAGGCACATTTGAATCAAATGAAAAAATCTGGATTGCCGCCCAAAGTTAAAAGACCATCACGAAAATATCGCAGAAGACCGCGAAATTTACTGGCAGAGTACACTCGAAGACAACGAAGTAAAATTTGGTTGGAAACTCACATTTGGCACGCGAAGCGTTTTCGCATGATCGAAAAATGGGGCTACAAAATCGCAAGTTACGCGAACGATAAATGTTTCAGAGCCAATTATCGCGCTGTAGCGAGACACTGCTTGATGCAAGATATTTCGTATTATACGTGTGTCGAAATTAATGGTCCTGAAGAAATTTTGAAAGAAACTTTAAAGAGCCATTGTAATCCATTGGAATTGTCATTTGCCGCAAAGATTTTTATGACAGGTACTCGAGAAGGAACCGTGATGTTTTTTAAAAAGAACGGCTATCCTCGATTTCCGATTGGTCACGTACATTTTTTATGGAGACCAAATCAATCTAATTTAAAAATAATTTGGATATGGGTGCATCCATCTTTTCTCGATGACTTTGTTGCGGAAATTACATCCAGTTTTGAATTCAAGTCAGACGAGGCGCATTCTACTTCTTCAGATGATCGATTTACAAAATCTTGTTTATATATCAATGAAAAGAATTGTACGATGAATATTTATAAGAATACTTTTAATCGATTTCGTTTTTACGGGCCGTTAACTCTAAGAGTCTTAACGGAAGCTCTCAGTTTGCCGAATTTCGATGAAAACTTTTATACGAAATTGAATATAGAGCAATTTGACGATGATCAAATGGAATGTGAAGATGAGAGTCAGAGTTCTGATAAATTCTGGCATATTGAATATTACAATAAACAGGAAAATATGGAATCATTGAAAATTCAGAAACAACTATGGCAAACGTTAAAGACGTTGCCCTCGCCTAGTCAGTTGCCACGAAATGTTGTTCTTGGCTTCACAGTCTTAGACCCACGATTTAATTTACCTAATAAAAGAACTAAACCTCAAAGAGAAGCACAGACAACTGAAGCAATGTTAATGTCTCTTCTAAATGCAAATCTTAGTCCAATTTGGGAGCAGGAAATAAGACAGAAAGTCAGTAAGATATGTGCAACAACTAGTGCAATTAATAAAATGAGAAGTAAATGTTTAGTACCTGGTTTAAGTAACGATAAACATTTTAATGAAGGAATCATGGCAAAGATACCTATACTACTTATACAGAGACCTGGAATGGGTAATACAGGTAATTGTTACCTACATTTTTTGTTCATTAAATAAAGTCATGTGAGATTAAAAAATGTAATTTCAGGTTTGTGTTCTGGAATAGATATTATTTTTCCATCCAATTGGGCAGTACCATTCTGGATTGCTTGCATATTTCGTTGTGCAAGAGTTGGTGCACTCAGAGAATCTAAATCCATAGCATTTGAGTACGAAAATATGCAGTCACCAGATGTTAATGATCCAGATACACCTGTCTATACAAGAGAAGCATTGAGTACAAAATTAGAGTTAAAAGAAAAATATTTTCGGTATCCACCAAACAGACGCGTAAACTTTACTAAATTTGGAATTTCTAGTCCTTTCTTTTGTGAATGGAAAATTTTAATGAAAGAATGGGCAGAAACGGAAGAATTTTTTGTCCTAAGGAACCGTAAATTATTAAAATTGTTACAAGATAGATTGCCGGTTAAAGAAGGTAGTAGAAAAAAATATGATAAATCAAACAATCTCACTCTGCAAAATGCATTTGAGAGCAAGAATTGTTTAGTGCGTGTTAAGGTATCTATTGTACAAAGGGGGTGTCCTAAAAGGTTTGCAATTATATGTATGCCAACTAATGAAGATATAGAAAAGTTTAAGAACAGTAGATATTGGTCAGGTCCTGTAGAAAAATTGAACGTTGATCCAAATGAAAGTGTTCGAAAGATATCGCGAAAAAATCACTTAGCTCTTTTAAAAAGATTAAAGAGGCAAAGAATATGTCATAAAAAATCACTGATTGATAAGTTAAGCAAGATATTGAGCAAGGAACTTGAAACTTTTAACTACAATGATAAATCCAAGAGTTTATCGGAAATAAACCGTAAAGTAGTGTACGAGCAATCTCAAAAAATGTCGCAATTATATCTTCCAGAGTGTACAAATGTAAGATATTCCTGTGATAGGGAAGTAATGGGATATGTAACTATGGGTGACTTTTCTTTTACAGAAGCAAAGGGTATAGGTTTAGGATATACAACATTAAATTCATTAATTGAATTAATTAATAAAAATCACACTTTTGTCCTTGTCAGGAATATCCAAACAAAACAATATAGAATTGCTAAATTAGAAGTAACAATTTAGCAAATAA